TGAGTAGCTGGGACTACAGGCGTGCACCACCACGCCTGGCTAATGTTTTGTATTTTTAATAGAGATGGGGTTTCACCATGTTGGCCAGGCTGGTCTTGAACTCCTGACCTCATGATCCGCCCGCCTTGGCCTCCCAAAGCACTGGGATGACAGGCGTGAGCTGCCGTGCCTGGGCTTTTTTTATTTTTGATATACGGTCTTGCTCTGTTGCCAGAGCCAGAGTACATGGTACAACCACAGCTCACCATTATCTTGATTTCCCAGGCTTAAGTGACCCTCCCACCTCAGCTTCCTGAGTAGCTGAAACTATACTCGTGCCACCACACTCCGATATTTTTTTAAAATTTTTTGTAGAAATGGAATCTCACATTGTTGCTCAGGCTGATCTTGAACTTCTGACCTCAAGCAGTCCGCCCACCTCAGCCTCCCAAAGTGCTGGGATTACAGGCGTGAGTCATCGCGCCGGCCTGCTTGTCCACATTTAATAAAGGTGATGTTCAGCCAATATAATCAGAACAATTGTGAGGTTTATATGGTATCCTCAAGGTTTGCTGCCCTCACACAATCAGTGTCACAAATCCCAACTCTCTCAGAGCGAGGAAGAGACAGCTGGCTCCAGCTCCACCCACCGAGCCTCAATTTCCTCATGAGTGACTGGAGTCAGTGACACCCACCTAGTGAAGGCGGGCCCAGAACTTGGTGTTGCATCATTCTCAGTAAAATGTCATTTTGCAGTTGTGTGATTTCAAAACACTTTCAGACTCTCATGTATAACTTCAGACTCGTTTTCTGTTTTAAGAGGAGTCTGGAGGTGGTGGTTCCAGCAGACAGAGTGTGTGCTACTCGGCAAAGGGGCTGGCATTTAAAAAACGGCCACCAGCCAGGCATGATGGCGCACACCTGTAATCCCAGCACTTTGGGAGGCTGAGGCAGGCGGATCACACCTGAGGTCGGGAGTTCAAGACCAGCCTGACCAATATGCAGAAACCGTGTCTCTACTAAAAATACAAAATTAGCTGGGTGTGGTGGCACATGCCTGTAATCCCAGCTACTGGAGAGGCTGAGGCAGGAGAATCTCTTGAACCCGGGAGGCGGAGGTTGCTGTGAGCTGAGATCACACCATTGCACTCTAGCCTGGGCAACAAGAGCAAAACTCCATCTCGAAAAAAATAAACAGAAATAGAAGGAAAAAATAAATTAAAAAACGGCCACCAAGGTCACTTCTTTCAAGAGCAGCCACATGACTATCCCTTCCCAGTCTTCTCTAGCCCTAACCTCAGGGAACTCTGATGCTCATACCCCAGGAGAATAGTGGTCAGTACCAGAGAGCCCTACCTGTTGACACTGTTCCACAGGCCCCAGCAGCCTGGCCCAGAAGAAGGATGTTAATAAGCACACCCACCTGTCTTACCTGTCGTAAGCTTCCTTGAGGTCCCTGGCCAGCTTGCACTTGGGCAGGATGTGATGGAATGGGGACTGAGGACCTTCATTTCCTACAAGAATCACAACACAAGATTTACAGCTCCCAAAGCAAGGAAACTTTTTGTTTTTGTTTTTGAGACAGAGTTTCACTCTTTTTTGCCCAGGCTGGAGTACAATGGCACAATCTCGGCTCACTGCAACCTCTGCCTCCCGGGTTCAAGCAATTCTTCTGCCTCAGCCTCCCAAGTAGCTGGGACTACAGGTGCCTGCCACCACACCCAGCTAATTTTATAATTTTTACTAGAGATGGGGTTTCACTATGTTGTCCAGGCTGGTCTCGAACTCCTGACCTCAGGTGATCCGCCCACCTCGGCCTCCTAAAGTGCTGGGATTACAGGCATGAGCCACCACGCCCGGCCTTTTTTTTGAGACAGGGTCTCACTCTGTCACCTGAGCTGGTGTGCAATGGTGTGATCATAGCTAACTTCTGTCTCAACTTCCCAGGCTCAAGCGATACTCCCACCTAGTTGGGACCACACACATGCACCACTAGACCTGCTAATTTTTTTTTTGAAATGGAGTTTCACTCTTGTTGCCCGGGATAGATTGCAATGGTGTGATCTCAGCTCACTGCAACCTCTGCCTCCTGGGTTCAAGCAATTCTCCTGCCTCAGCCTCCCAAGTAGCTGGGATTACAGGTGCCCACCACCATGCCTGGTTAATTTTTTTGTATTTTTAGTAGAGACAGGTATTCACCATGGCCAGGCTGGTCTCGAACTCCTGTCCTCAAGTGATCCACCCACCTGGGCCTCCCAAACTGCTGGGATTATAAGTATGAGCCACCACACCTGCCCTAGACCTGCTGATTTTTAAATTTTTTGTAGAGATGGAGTCTCGCTATGTGGCCCAGGCTGGTCTCAAACTCCTGGGCTCAAGTGATCCTCCCATGTCGTCCTCCCAAAGTGCTGGGATTACAGATGTGAGCTACCACGTCTAGCCAAAAAGTCTTTTATTCATCCTTTTTCATAAATTTCTAACAAAATATATGCAGACTTAAAATTTTTTTTACTTCCTGTGATAAAGTCACAGACTCTAAAAAGACAATGTTTAAAAAAACAAAACTTTTGGATCGTTATTATGATAATTATAATTAGTACACAATTGGCCAAAACAGAAACATATTATAAATTTTGACAGATAATTGTCAAGCATAAAAAGTTTTTCTTTTGTTTTTTTGTTTTTTGAGACCGGGTCTCACTCTGTCACCCTTGCTAGAATGCAGTGGTGCAATCTCAGCTCACTGCAACCTCCACCTCCCAGGGCTCAGGTGATTCTCCCACCTCAGCATACCGAGTAGCTAGAACTATGGGCACACATGACTGTGCCCGGCTAATTTTTGGGTTTTTTTGGTAGAGGCAGGATTTCACCATGTTCCCCACACTGATCCTGAATTCCTGAGCTCAAGCAATCTACCCACCTCAGCCTCCCTAAGTGCTGGGATTACAGGCATGAGCCACCACACCCAGCCACAAGTAAATTTTTACTGAAAATGCACCTGAGTCAGAGAGGCTGTTCTTTTATTATTTATTCAGGTCAATAGCTACTTTTACTTATTGCTACAACAACTAGGTCTGACTTTAGTTTTGTCCTAATTCTCTCTTTTTTATAGATGTGCTTGCCAAAGAAAATGGAGATGGAGAGTTTGTTACAGGCGTCCCTCTGTTTTGAAATCTTTACAGTAGGCCAAAAACCACTCAATGTTCTATCTGCAAACATTATTTTTAATAATTGGTTAGTTGATAGCCCAGTTAGGTCCTCCTCCAATCTGGCTGAAAGCAAAGAACTGGACACTGTCCACCTCACCAGCTGGGTATTTCCAACGCCCTCTCCTGCCCCGGGGAGTAAATACTTTCTTCAACATGTCCCACAGGGCCAGGGCTAGGCAGAGCTGCCTGACCTATGCGAACAGTGATCATGCAGCAGTGTATGGAAAGAAAGAACATTTCTGGTTGGGAAATCTATTTCAGTACATCCATCCAGGAAAGTTCATCTACAAATGCGCCCCTTGGGAGTCTTCCTGTGCCCCCACAGGCACAATTGGTCCAGTGTGAAGATCATGTAACTTCTCTTAGCCTTAGTTTCCACATCTGCAAAATGGGGATGATCATGGACCCTGCCTTGCAAAGCTATTGTGAGGACTTCATTTTCAATGCCCAGCTCGCCAAAAGCTGATGCTTGCAAGCTTCTGACTGCTCTGCTGGTGTTGGGGTGGGTGAGGCCCCACCAACATGTGCACCATTAACACTGAATGACAGCCCCTCCACAGAGGTCTGCACTGCAGAGAGGCCACCAGCCAGCCCAGACACATGCCCATCATGCCCTGCTGCACTCACCATCAGCCATGGCGGACACCTCATCCTGGAGCGCCAGGATCAGCTTGGCCTCCCGGGTGAGGTACTGGCAGCGGCGCTCCTCGTGCTGCAGCACAGTGGCAATGCGACGGGACAGGTTATGCAGACAGTTTATCACTGACGGGTCTGCATTGGCCTGCGGGAGAGAGACCATGCACAGACTCAAACGTATGCACAGGGACATAGCTGGACAGTTTAAATGGAGCTAATACGTGTACACAGCAAAATCTCAAACCATGAAAGAAAGTGTCTCTACTCCTTTCCCCCAGGCTCCTTTGCAGAGGCTATTGCTGCTCATTTCCTGAGTCCCCTCCAGGGCCCATCCACAGAAATGCTGGCTGTCAGCTCCCATGCTCTATTCCAGGGAGTGGCTGCCTGAATAGCAGCAGAGATGGCTCTGGAAATGTTGCTCTTAAGAACGAACAATGGTGCCTCCCTCACAAAGGACTGAATGGAAGAAATTAGTGAGCCATGTCACAAACTAGGAATAGAGCCTGCCCTGAGCAAAGACCCTGGTAGTGTCTGTGGTCACCACTGTACTGCTGACTACTGGTAGGCAGAACTAGTCTACAATATGTAAGAATTCAGTCACAACAGGCCACATTACCACAGGGACGCAAGGTACAAAAACAGAGGTGCCTGGCCAATTGTTCACTGAATACTTTTGGTCCTCAAGGATGCGAAGCTCTTCCCAGCAGAAGTGACACTGGTTAACAAGAAAACCAGCAGGCTCCAGGCCCACATCTCTGCCCCAGCACTCCTTCTGCAACCATGTTGACTGGGTCAAAGGACAGTGCAGGAGGCTCTCAGGAACAAGAGGGGCCCTCGCCCCTCTGGAACCTATCAGGCACCACAGTCAGCCAGGCAAGCACATCTGCCCAAGCCAAGGGCGGAGGCATGCAGCTGTGGGGATCTGTGAAAACATCTGAGGGAGCAGATAACTGGGCCAACCATGACTCAGTGCTTCTGGAGGCCAACAGGACTGCTGAATCATCCTGTGGGGGTAAAGATGGGACAAGGGAAAGGGGTGAATGGTACTGCTGATTACAACCTCTGGTGCTGCCTCCCCCTCCTGTTTATCTGAGAGGGAAGGCCATGCCCAAAGTGTTCACAGCCAGGCTTCAGGGGCAAAGCCTGACCCAGACAGTAAATACTTTCTTCACGTGGAGCTGAAGAAATTCTCTATACTCTCATCAGATCCCATGTTCACAAACAGAACTCACACCTGGGTGGACTTACAACAAGGCAGCATCCCTTGCCAGAGAAAGGACCGACTGGTGCTCCCATGCCATGCCCACCACTGGGCAGCAGGCCTACTCCTCCATGTCAAGGGCATCCCCTCAACAGTGTCCCTGGAACCAAAGGGCTGACATATGGGGTATATACAATTGCCTCAAAACAAAACACCCATTTAGAAGAAGAATCTGTGTGCAAATACTTCTATGAGCAAAGCAAGGAGGAGGAGAATGATCCTGGATATGTGATTATTCAGCTGAGGCACACCACCGTCCATGAGTTGGATGTCCAGGGCCCATATGCTTGACCTTTCCAGACATACGAGGGGATGCAGTCCCCAGTGACGCCCAATGACCTGCACTCCGTGCAAACCCAGCATGTCCGTTTGCAAAGGTCTGACACTGAGTGAGGGACATGCTGAGAAAGGTAACACCTAGGGTGTGCCAGCACTAATAGGAACTCTTAGAGACATCGTATTTTCACCACACACAACGTAAAGAGGCATGAAGTTTAAGGCGTCATCCATGAGACCTTCTCACCCCCAAAACTTGTACCCAAAGAGAACCAAGCCTTCAGAGTTAACTTCTAGTTTACAGGAAACACAGGCACAGAGAGCAAGTCTGACTGCACAATGAGATGAATCCAAATGTGGAACATTTGATGGAACAAAGGAAGGGGAGACCTCTGGATTGGCAGAGACATAAAGACACCATGTGCACTAGCTGCACCGGGTTTGCATCCTGGTTCAGACAGTCCAGCTGCGAAAATGCTTTAGCAATCAGGAAAAGCTTCAGCGGAGCAGGTACTAGGTGATGCCAACTTATTACAGTAAATCTTTTCAGATGTACAAAGGGTATCATGGCCAAAAATTAAGTGCCCATATTTTACACAGATACCTTCGGAAGTATGTAGGGATGAACAGACATAAGGTCTGGTACTTGCCTTGAAATAGAGAGAGGGAAGGAAATATATGGAAACAGGGTATAAAGGCACCTGAGACAGGCATATAAGGTTTATCAGTCTGCTTTCTCTAGTTAAGGGTTTAAAATTTTTCTAAGTAAAAAAAAAAAAGGATACATATATATTTTTTAAGATAGGGTCTCACTCTGTTGCCCAAGCTGGGGTGCAGTGGCATGATCACTGCTCACTGCCACTTTGACCTTCCAGGCCCAGGTGATCCTCCCACTTCAGCCTCAAAAATAGCTGGGACTACAGGCGCGCATCAATATGCCTGGCTAATTTTTGTATTTTTTGTAGAGACGGGATTTCGCTATGTTGCCCAGGCTGGTCTCAAACTCCTGGGCTCAAGTGATCCACCTACCTTGGCCTCCCGAAGTGCTAGGATTACAGGAGTGAGCCACTGTGCCTGGCCAAAAGTGTATATTTTAAAAAGAAAGACTTGTCCACCCAAAAAATACAAACTCTTACATTATCCAAATTTCTCCCACTTGTCAATATCACCGCCAGCTGAAGCCCTAGACTATCTTGTTTCCTGTTGCTTTTTTTTTTTTTTTGAGATGGAGTTTCGCTCTTGTCACCCAGACTGGAGTGCAATGGTGCGATCTTGGCTTACTGCAACCTCTGCCTCCCGGGTTCAGGCGATTCTACTGCCTTAGCCACCCGAGTAGCTGGGATTACAGGCATCCACCACCACACCTGGCTAATTTCATATTTTTTAGTAAAGACGGGGTATCTCCATGCTGGTCAGGCTGGTCTCAAACTTCTGACCTCAGGTGATCCACCCACTTCGGCCTCCCAAAGTGCTGGGATTACAGGCGTAAGCCATTGTGCTCAGCTCCCGTTGCTTTTACCTGTCCATAATCAATCCATACTTCTCCAGGTTCTGGTCTGATCTCCATTTCTCATCCTCAATGGCAAGAGAATGGGCCAGTGTATAATAATTACCACATTGTTTAATCATTCCCCAAGTACTAAACACCACGATTATCTCCAGTTTAATTACTGTTATAAAAATCTTTATTCTTGCTGAGAACAAGCCAGGGGGAAATCTTTATGCAGTTGTAAAAGTTGCTTGTTTTCTTGATAATACTCCTAACACTGGGATTGCTAGATCTAAGGGCATCATATGCTCTGCTGTCACTGTTCCCCAGAGATGAGGGCCTGCCTGCAGCATCCTGGGTGGGGCTGTGGCTGCTTCTCATTGACTGTCCCACAGGGGTTATCGGTGTTGACAGGTGGACATTTGTCATGGATTTTGTTTATTCATTTGCTTGTTTTTTGACTTACTTCATTTTTCTTTGTGACTCTTTATATTATGTAATTATGTAAGAAATACAAAGATACTATGAAAATGCAAATACTACAAAAGTGTATCAAGCAGAAAGTGAAGAACTTCTCCCAGAACCCTATACCCCAGAAGCAATTAACAAATCATTTTGTTTTAATTTGTAGCTCCTTATTTACCAACAAGGCAGGCCTGTCTTAAAAATTAAGCTCCAGCTGGGCGTGGTGGCTCACACCTGGAATCTCAGCACTTTGGGTGGCCAAGGAGGGAAGATCATTTGAGCCCAAGAGTTCAAGATCAGCCTGGGCAATAAGGTGAAAACTCATCTCTACAAAAAATACAAAAATTAGCAGGGGCCGCGCGCAGTGGGTCACGCCTGTAATCCCAACAGTCTGGGAGGCCAAAGTGGGAGGATCACCTGAGGTCAGGAGTTCAAGACCAGCCTGGCCAACATGGCGAGACCCCGTTTCTACTAAAAATACAAAAATTAGCTGGGCATGGTGGCGTATGCCTGTAATCCCAGCTACTCGGGAGGCTGAAGCATCAGAGTCACTTGAGCCTGGGAGGCGGGGGTTGCACTGAGCCAAGATTGTGCTACCACACTCCAGCCTCGGTGACACAGTGAGATCTGTCTCAAAAGAAAAAAAAAGGGCCGGGCGGCGTGGGCAAGCATGTGAATCCCAAAGCACTATTGGGAGGCGTGGGGCACTGGGAGCGTGGCGGATCACGAGGGTCAGGAGATCGAGACCATCCTGGTTAACACGGTGAAACCTGTCTCGTTACCTAAAAATACAAAAAACTAGCTCGGAGCGAGTGGGCGGCGGCCTGAGTCCAGCTAACTGCTGGGAGGCTGAGGAGCAGGAGAATGGCTGGAAACCCGGAGCGGAGCTGCCAGTGAACTGAGAATTGCGCCACTGCACTCCAGCCGCTGGGCGACCAGAGCGAGCTCCGCGTCGAGAAAAAAGAAGAAAAAAAAAAGAGGGGAGTAACTGCTAATGGGTATGGGGTTTCCTTCTGGGGTGGTTAAAGTGTTCTAGATCTAAATAGTGGTGATGGTTATACAACATGAATGTACCAGATGCCACTGAAGCATAGCCTTCAAAATGACAAATAGTGTTATGTGTATTTTACCAAAACAAAAAGTGGTAAACAATGAAGTGCAGTCTGCCTGCACCCCAAGAGGGGCCAGCACCATGCCCACTGCAGTCCAAGCTCCGAGTCAATGACACGCTCGTAGGAAGAAAGAGCTGCTTCTCCCCAGCCCCACTCCCTGATCTTAACCATTTATATAAACACTCACCCTCAGTGCAAACACCACATTAAAAAGAATCATAGTAGGTGCTTCCCTCTTCGGGGAAGGATCTGTTTTGGAGACCTGTAAAAGATGCATAATTCTAATTAATTGAGACGACTTTCTAAGGAAAGAAGCTGTTTAGAGCTATTCTACTTCAGGCATAGGAAAAGTCCCCAGAATACGGCACCAAGGTCTTCGAAAAGCAATGAATGCCTTTGTTCTAGAGGCGTGCCTACTGCATGGACAGTCACAACTATGACAAGAGTGAGAAGGTCAGTGCTCTGACCCCTCCACCCCCACAACCGCTAACAGAAGTGAGCTGACAATGCCCACAGGGGACGGGGATGGGATGGAGAGGGGCATACATGGGTGGATGACCCAGACCACACCCCCACTGCTGTCCCGTGTCCACCTGCGTCCACCCAGGCTGTATCTGCTAAGTATGACGCATACTGAGAACAATTTAGGGACAAGACAATGTTCAGGGACAGCCAAGCCCTGAGCAGGGCGCAGGTGAGGCAGGCCAGCAAGTCCTAATCTCTGCACTCCCGGTTCTGGCATCTAGCCAGCTTCACAAGGACCAGGGCACTCAAGTGAAGCATTCCAAGGGGCACAAGGGAACTCTTCAAAGCCAACTACAAGTTCTGCCACAAGGGGGAGCTGGGGCCCCAGGCGGCCCTTGCACTCATCCCCTACCCCTGACTGCAACTCCTGCCTACAGGGTGTGACCGCAGGCAGGCTGCCAACTCTCCCCTCCATTGCCTCCAGGTAGGGGACTGTGCCCCAGCTGTGGAGGCTGTGATGAGAAGGGAGGGTGAGGTCCAGGGGGCCAGGCACATCAATGGCCTCGGAAACTCCTTCCATGGAGGTTCACGAATAATACCACAGAACCTCACACAATTGCTGGATCTGTATAAATGTAGCTAAATCCTATGTTATGTGTTCTACCCTTCAGAATCGGAGTAATGCCATCACTGATCCTGCCTATATGCAGAGAGCTGACTGGCAGGCTCTGGTGTACAAGTTCCCTTCATCCTGCTAGCAAGATGAATTCCTCAGTGCTATGACACTGATTCATCAGAGAACACATAGAGAGGGTTTAGCAGAAAAATAAGTGCTAAATAATACTAATATTAGCTACTAGAGTGTCTTGTAATAAATAAGAGGAAATGCTTGCACCACATTGTAGAAAATTCAAGGGTCTGACAGATGCTAGTTAACTCATCTTGGCCTCCCCTGGAAACAGACATCCTATATATAAAGGGCAGGACTACAGTCAGTAGAGACATAGAATGCAGACTGCAAAAGCTAGGGGCAGGGACTGAAGCACCTGTCTTCAGGGGCAAGAACACCTGTCTCTTTTTCCACTGGACTCTCAGGGTTTATGAAGATGCACAATTCATAGCAAGTGTCTAATCAGGTCTCCTGCCCAACAGTTACTTTCACCAGAGCTGGTGTCAGCCTCAGTTCTGAGCCCCCCAGAGCCAAAATGGACCAGGCCTGCCAGCCCAGGGAGAGCCACATCTACCTAGAGGGTCTTTGCGTGCCCAGGGAGAACCCAACCTGCCCAAGGAGAGTCCTATCTGCCCAGGGAGAGCCACACCTGCCCAGGGAGAGCCATACCTGCCCCAGAGCATGCTGTAGCAGTGTTGGGTGCCCAACAAACCGCACATTATCAATCTTCAGTTCAAATTTTTGGCCACACATTTCAGACTTGGTTGCCAAAATTGTTGCCAGAATAACATCTGAAAACCTTAAAATTTAAAAGAGGTAGAATAAAAATAAGTTAACAATGTACCACAGCACCGTGCCCTGCTGGCCCCAGAGCGGAAGGGTCTCAGTAAACTGCACCTTCATGGAGTTGCTCTGCCCCGACTGCTGATGAAAGCTACTAACAGTTGCCCTTCTGTAGCAATCCCAGAGGTTACGGATGTAAGATCACCAGAATTACAAGGTAAAAGGCATGAGAAGCACAGACTGAAGGCACATGCTGTCATTTTTTGGCATGCTCTATTAAATTCAGGAGAGAAGCAGTTGCAGTTTGCTTTCAAAGGGAGGATCAGCTGGAGCCGGCACTGCCCTGAGGAGCTGCTCTTTAAGGTTCACAGGCAGAGGGGGCCTCTCCCAATTATACTCAGGTTTGCTGGGCTGCACCTTCAACTCCCAGGACCCTGGCCCTTCACCCACAGAACCGCATGGAGGGCAAGGGGACGGTGCACAGGGAGGCGTGCAGAGCACTGACTTCCTTCCTTATAGCGTGGCTGCCCAGCCATTCTCTTATCCCAAACACTTAAACTTCCCAGTTTTTATCATGGAAGAAACTTTGTGTAAGATGTGCAAGCCCACCGTGATCACAGCTATTTCCAAATGGCAGAAATACAGGGTTGTACAGGACTGGGTGCCATGGAAAAGTGGGAACAGCTGTGGTGTGGGAGGGAGGGCATCCCTTTTCAAGATCATCTGTGCCCTTATGTCTCCTTACTGGCAATGCTGATGTCTCCTGCCTGGGGGGATCCGGATAAGGGAGCATCACCGGCAGGGGTGCTGTGGGTGGTGCTGACTCTTATCTTAGAACCCAGGGCTCTGAAGGCTCTAGAAACACAAATGTACTACCTCTGATCTGGACCCAGAAGGGAGAGAAGTCCCATGCATATCTCTCCACCCAGGAAAAATATTTCTAATATCTAGGTCAGGAGGATACACTATCTTGGGGAAGGCAGCTCTAGCCTCCCCGGGGCCATATTCTGCCCCTGGACAGGGAGACCCCCTAAGGTCCTAGAAGAGACCATTGAGGACAGACATTTTAGTGTGATCCCTGGTCATGCTTCTTCCCCGGAGGCCCTCTTGGCGAAGGGGTGGGAGAGACTAACATAACTCCTCCATATTGTGATAAAAAAGGAAGGTCTGCTTTGAACTGCACTGTAGCTCAGCTCTGTAATACCAAATGGCAAGTAGCTACAGGATTCTTTGCAAGTCTACCATGGGCTGTGGGGCTCACGCTGTTTTCCAGCCTTCCTCCTGCACTGGCACGACCCTCTAACCATCTGAAGTCACCCCAAACAAGCCCACAAACAAACCACATACGAGGGTTTGGTCAAACCTATTTGTGCCGTTTGGAAACAGCCTCTCAACCCAGTCAGGTTGCAGTTGGACCTTCTGAAATCAATCTCGTTAGAGATATCCTGGGAAATGCAGGACCCACAGCCAAGTCCTCAGCAACCCACTGCAGGTCTCTCCTGCAGAGATGGAGGATTCAAGTGCCTTACACCACAGGCATAACATGCTTTCTTCAAAAACCCTAAATGGCTCACTCTGTCCTATAACTCCCATGTGTGGGACATGGTAATGTTGAAGGAGGGGTTGAGGTATTAAACCACCACCAAACACTTCAGCTCTAGCAACTGACCCAGGGCCAACACCTCACCTCCTATCTAAACAGTGCCCCTCCACTCTGCCACCAAGTGACTCAGGGGACACAGAGATAACAGAAAAATAACCACCACCACTCCAGAAAGGTCCCTTGCTCTGACAGCCCAAAATCTCCACTAAAAACTGCTGCTCTGTCATAAAGAGTCATAGCCATGTCTCAGCCTCAGTCCTCAAGCACCACTCCAGGGACCAAATTTAGTTTGGCTGTAAGATGGTTCCTGGGATTTTCAGAGGCAAGCAGTGGTAGCCCAATTCACATTTATAAATACCTAAACTTCAAGGCGCCCTCACAACAGCCAAATAAAAGGCTCTTTCCCTGCTAGAAGCCAGGGTCTGCAGAGACAGCCAACTGGAAATCTGCGAGCTGAAGTAAAAAGTCACATTGGGGCCGGGCGCGGTGGCTCAAGCCTGTAATCCCAGCACTTTGGGAGGCCGAGACGGGTGGATCACGTGTTCATGATAGATGCAGACTCATCTTGTGTGACATGGTGCTGAAGGAAACCCTGTCTCTACTACAAGTAAACAAAAAGAAACTAAGTTCCGGCGAGTGGTGGCGCGGTGTGCGCTGCTATGTCGCCACCTACTTCGACCTGAGACAGGAGATTCTGTAGAACCCCGGCGAGCGAGCTTGCGATGTGAGGCTGAGATCCGCCACTTGGCACTCCCAGCCTGGGCGACAGAGCGAGACTCGCGTCTCGCGCAAAAAAAAAAAAAAAAAAGTCACATTGGGGCTGGGCTTTCTTTGTTTACTCTGTAGTTCGCGGGCTGCTAATCCTACCACTTTTGTGATGGTTGACTGCTATGGTGGATCATCCTGAGAGTCTGGAGTTCGTGAGACGCAGCATTCTCTGGACCACTGGATGGATTTGCAACTCCGTCTTATCGCTAAAATATACAAAAATTTAGCCAGGTGCAGTCGTAACGCTGTAGTGCCAGTTCTAGTCGGGAGGCTGAGGCAGTAGAATCGCTTTGAACCTGCGGACAGGGCGGAGTTGGAAGGCTGAGCTGGGAGATGGTGCCACTGCCACTCCAGCCTGTTTTTTTTTGTTGTTTTTTTTTTTTTTTTGTTTTTTTGTGACAGTATGCAAAACTCGCTCTCAAAAAAAAAAATAAAAATCACATTTGGTGAGTGGTGTCACGGAGCCTCGCTGTGAGGCAGCCAGCCTGTGGGCGTGGTAGGTTAGTGTCACGGTGGTTGTTTTTATCTGAGCAGAATCGGGCCCACAGAGAGAAATTATTCCGTCAACACCTTAATATTAACAGCATATTAGATGACAGAACACTTTGTTTTTTTTGAGACCAAGAGTCTTGCTCTTGTTCCCCCAGGCTGGTAGTGCAATGCGTATAATCTCAGCTCATGCACCTGCCTACGCCTCTCCCGGGTTCAAGGCGATTCTCCTTGCTCAGCCTCCCGAGTAGCTGGGGGATTTACAGGCCCCGGCCCACACCACGCCCGGCTAATTTTGCTATTTCTTTAGTAGAGACGGGGTTTACCATGTTCGGCGGTCAGGCTATGGGTCTCGAAGATCCGACCTCAGGTGATCTGCCTGTCTTGGCCTCCCAAAGTGCTGGGATTACAGGCGTGAGCCACCGCGCCCAGCCCCATGACAAAACACTTGAGTGGCTTTTTTTTTTCCCTGGAGACGGAGTCTTGCTCTGTCACCCAGGCTGGAGTGTAGTGGCGCAATCTCGGCTCACTGAAGCCTCCGCCTCCTGGGTTCAAGCGATCCTCCTGCCTCAGCCTCCCAAATAGCTGGGATTACAGGCACGCGCCACCACGCCCAGCTAATTTTTCGTATTTTTTAGTAGAGACGGGATTTCACCACATTGGCCAGGCTGGTCTTGACCTCCTGACCTCGTGATCTGCCCGCCTCGGCCTCCCAAAGTGCTGGGATTACAGGCGTGAGCCACCGCACCTATCTGGCTTTATACTTTATATAGTGGGTCTGGTAAAGTAATATGCATAAAGACAGAGTTATATTCATGATATTAGGGGTGGGGCAAAACTTACAAACAGCAAACTGAACCATAAACAAAGTGTCTTTTTGTTTTATTGGCTTCCAACATTTATAAAAATCCTTTTCCCTCATTTTGATGGTGAAAGGCCTAATAAACGTACTGCAACACAATAAAACATCTGTTACAAAAACTGAAGATTCCTGGAATAACTTGGATATTCAAGAGAAACATGTTTGGGAAGATGAACCAACCCAGCCAGAAAACAGGCCAGACCTTCTATCACTGTCAAGCTATTCTGGAGCAGGGCTTCTCTCTAGCTTGGGCAAAAAAAGGGATGGAAGGACATCCTGGAAAGGAGCTCAACTCTGCTTCCCCCACCCACCTTGCTAGAAGCTCACAGATGCTGTGTGTACCTCCAAGGCCCAGAGGACAGGCACTGTCAAGGGGAATGGAAGAGTCGCATTTTATCCACGCCCTCTGGACAAGCAACATATCAATTCTATGAGAACATTTCTGCCTCTATTAAGCACACTCAATAGCATCTAGGCCTGAGCATCACACTTACTACCTAACCCTTGGGAGAGGCCCCCACAAAACCCCTCAGAAATATAAAAACAAGGAGCAACAGTCACAGGTCTCTCTAGGGTGGCAGCTGCTGCCCACCACCCTCACAGGACTACTTGTGCCTACCTGGAGGAAGAGGAGGTTTGTGTGACATGCCTGGTCCCAGAAGTCTCCTGGGGCCAGTCAGCCATGCCTTGGCCTCTCAGGTAATGTGAAATAGCTAAATGACTGGGTGGAGAAAAAGCAGGGGTGGTGGAAAGTCTGGGCATTCGTGGGGGAACTGGGGCAGGGAGGTCCACGCCTGTGTGCCTCATCAGTCACTCTCAACATTGAGGGAAACCAGGAATTAAGCACAATTAAAGAAGAAAAGGCAGCGGAATCAAGACAGAAAGACGGTGGAGAGGTCTCGGTCTTACCCTGCAACCAATTGCTCATCGGTTGGAGGACATGGCTCGCTGAAATGGGAACAGGACCATCAAGACCAAACAAAAACATATCGCTTTTTTAAAAACCATGAAAACTTACAAGCCTATTTTATAAAAAAGTGTACTAAAGTCTAGCAGAAGTGCCACCATTAAGCATTACCATTGAGCATCATGACTAAGCAACTTACCAGACAAGAAACAGGATCACACACTCCCCACGCTGAGAAACAGATCACACACTCCCCACGCTGAGAAACAGGGTCACACACTCCCCACACTGAGAAACAGGGTCACACACTCCCAACGCTGAGAAACAGGATCACACACTCCCCACGCTGAGAAACAGGGTCACACACTCCCCACACTGAGAAACAGA